CAATAGAACATCAGAACAAAAATGAAATAAATAACATTAAATAATACAAATTACAGTGCTAGTAGTATTTAAAAAATAATAATGTGCAAATACAAAAGTTAAAAAAATGGCTTCTGTCAATAAGCTTAAATAAAGCTTCAAATCAAATAAAAAGGATTTTATTTTCCAGCCCAAAATAACAAGTTTCCAGATGATTCAGTTCATGAATTCATGAATGCTGTGGACGTGCTCTGGAGTGAGGCTTGCTCTTATCTTTGAAATAATGTTCCCAGCTGCTGATAACAATCCTAAAGATGCTCTGTCATGACTTCAGCCATTTGAGAAGTGCATAAGCCTCTTTACAGGATAAACTTATCTATACACCTGTGCTTAATACTAGTAAAACAGAATTAGAATAGATCATTACTAATCACAAATCTTGTTATATATCATAGTTTCTCAGATGGTGTAGTGTTCAAATATGGTCCAACACACAAGTTAACGACCTAATGTTAGCTGGAAGAGATTTACTATTCAGAATAAATGCTAATATTATTGTGAAGGGGAAAAAGGAGGGGGAAAACTAGGAGACAGTGTAGCTGCTTCTGTTTAATGGTTCAGTGTCATCAGTTATGCAAACTGCATACACATTATATCTTTATTCCAGAGGGAAGTAACGGAAGTCTATGTTGCACTCCTAACAGATTTTTTTCAGGGTAATGACAGTTAAGAGATTTTGCTTAATGCATTATTTTGTGTGTGTGTGCGTGTGTGTGTGCGTGTGCGCGTGTGTGTGTGTGTGTTTGAGACTATTTCTCTCTTGGGGTCAGTTTCCATAGTATCAATATTAAGTTTTGGGTAAACCAAACAAGACTCCTCCAGTAACTCATCAGCTCATTCATAGTGTTGGCATTGATTCTTTGGTGGTGTATAAATTATAGTTTGTTATAAATGCTTTGACTATGACAAATTCTCAAGCAGTGAAACTGATAAAGGCTTACAGTTAAATCTCTGATATTAAAGCATTGTGTGGAATCGATAAGGAACTTCTTCTATTATCCTTTAATCACCTGCTAACTTTTATTAGCTCAAGATTTATTTCTGAGTCGGTCTTTTTTCTGTTTGTTGACTTGGTCCTGAACTGTTTTGTCATGTTGTTCCAAGTTGTGGTTATAATGTGATTGTAGGATAAGTGTATCTACAAAGACTGACATGAACATTGCCATTTTTAGCTCCATGGTCAGTTAATAAGCACACTGACCTACTTAGAATCTCTCACTGGTATTGGTGAGCAGTAGATGTTTTTATCTGTATGAGGTAAATGCAAAAATGGATGGTGACATCCTGGGTCTTTCTGCAATGGTATTTATGTCACAATGAACCACTTGAAAGGGTTGGAGAAAGAGAAGAAGTTAAATAGACCAATGCCAGTGAAGCTTTGCAAGGTGCCTTTAGCCAGCAAGTGTGTCTCTTCCTGATAGTGTGTGACTTCCTTCACTCTGTGGATCATGATGACAGTGAAGAAACATGTGCCTTATTGTGTAAGTAACTAACAAAAATGTTCATGGCATCATTCACTCTTGCTGATTTAGCTTTCCTTTTCCCTTTGACCACTTGGTGAGTCAATGCTTCCTCTACTATGACTGTAAGTGAATCCTGTTTTGGTCCCAGACAGATGCAGAAAAATGTTCCTGGCACTTGGTCTTTAGTTTAGTGTTGAAGGAATAAGAACATATTATATATATTGTGTTGTTATATGTCTGAAGTTCATTTAGGTGGAGAATTAATATATTGTTTTGATT